GTTGAGAGAATGCAAGTGAGAACTAGATTGCTAAAAACTGGAGATGCTGGCCGATCCCTGACAACGCTATACTACTCTCAGCCTTCTATATCCTCATACAACGCGTGCCGATCAAGGGTCAGAGCCGCCCGGTGTCCAGTGGAGGTGTGATGTGCGGAAATGATGTATGTAAAGAGCATGGCTACTTCCGCTCATAAGAGTAATGCCTCTCACTTAACACTAGGAGACAAATGAATGCTGTACAGTTGCTACAGGCACATGAAGTTAAGACGCTTTAAGAGTTCCATAAGAAGTTATCCTCCCAATGACAAAAATATATAGTTGGGAGAAGAGTTTGGAGTATTCTGCTTTTCCAAGGTGCATTAAAAGCAAAAACACGTTTGGCTTTTTAGGTGGACTCACCAATAATACATAATCAGGTTTGGGACTATAAACTCTAAAATATTTTGTTCAAAATGAACAGTGTTGGAGCCCTGAACCTAATTTATTCAGAGGCCTTCTATTTGAGCTCATTAAGTGACCAGAAACATTTTGATAAATACCCATTCTTCCACTTAGGGACACGTTTTTCATCTCGATTCAGCGAAGAACTACTTCCTCTGGCCAGCTGGTATAACTGGCATTAAAAACTAACAAAGAATGTAGAGAAGGGAAAATCTTCCGTTTCTCAGTAATTTCCTTAAAACTACATACAGAGAGTTGAGAAGAAATGGACTTTGTGTCAGGGCGGAGGATGGGCAGTGCTGCCCAATCTGTGGGTGATGGTGGAGCGGCTCTCTGGTCCCTTCTCCCGCTCCCGATGGGATGGAAGTTGAAACCTCTGCCTCATTTTATAAAAGGTCACGGTTTGAGAAATCTCCAAGTAGTCTTAGAAAGATATGTATAAAGACTCTGGTAAATTATTGAGTAAGAGCCTCCCTAAGTGACTGAAAAATGTCCCTTCATTTCAAGAAGCGTCACCCGCCAGTCCAAAGGTGCTCACAGATGACGTAGCTGTGATTTGTATCCGCACGTCCTGGGTGAATGAACTACACATCCATCTGTTTAAAAACATGCCCAGTGCACTTGTTCACAAACCTGGTAAATAGTAACCTTGTCTGAAGACTTACTCAGAATTTTATCTGAACATCTGCTGCTTATGTACTATGCTCAGGCACTGCTCCTGTAATACAGATACACCTGTAATTCCAGTAAGTAGCTGCTCTAAAAACCATATCTGTTAGTTTCAGGAAGAAATTAGGGTGATTATATTCTAACAAGGCAACTGAATTCTCCTTCAAAAGGACTTTGTACAAAATGAACTTCAGTCCTGAGCACGTAGCAGTAGTTCAACAGATGTACCTAACCCAGGGATAGACCCATGTGATCAGATTTCCCTGACAAATATGTTTCTTGAGTCAAAAGCATCCCCTTAGTGTTTAGTGCTTTTCAGTGACCTCCATTTTAAAGAAAATGTCTATATTATATAAAACAAATCTCTGTACTTTATTAATCTATATATCCCATGTTGCTTAGTGCAGTGACATTTTTCATATAGGCGACTGTGGTTGAGGAGATAGCTGTAATGAACTGCACCACCACAGTTTTCTGAATATAGACATTAATAAAACATACGATCAACTTCCTACTATAGCCTAAGGGTAAAAATATGGAAAAACTCCATATTTCTGTCAGTTTCCGTTATCTTTGAGACAGTCTTTTTTTTTTTTTTCTGCGGCACGCAGGCCTTTTGCTGCTGTGGCCTCTCCTGTTGCGGAGCACAGGCTCCGGACGCGCAGGCTCAGCGGCCATGGCTCACCGGCCCAGCCGCTCCGCGGCATGTGGGATCTTCCCGGACTGGGGCATGGACTCGCGTCCCCTGCATCGGCAGGCGGACTCTCAACTACTGTGCCACCAGGGAAGCCCTTTGAGACAGTCTTGAAAGCACTAAGGATCGAAATGGCAAACATGGAAATGTGTCTAGTATTACTTTTTCAGTTTTTTTTTTCCAAATAAATTTACCTATTTTATTTATTTATTTTTGGCTGTGTTGGGTCTTCGTTGCTGCATGCGGGCTTCCTTTAGTTGCTTCGAGCCGGGGCTATTCTTTGTTGTGGTGCACAGGCTTCTCACTGCAGTGGCTTCTCTTGTTGCGGAGCACGGGCTCTAGGCGCGCAGGCTTCAGTAGTTGTGGCATGTGGGCTCAGTAGTTGTGGCTTGCAGGCTCTACAGTGCAGGCTCAATAGTTGTGGCACACGGGCTTAGTTGCTTAGTTTAACACGAGCGTTAAAAGTCATTCTTTTTAGTTAGCCCTTTTTCTTTTTCTGATGGCTCTAGAAGGAACTCCTGCCTGTGCTCCCCACTGCCCCAAAAAGTTGAGAAAATATTCTAGATTTTTGCCAGAGTATGCAAGGAGAAAAATAAATTCAATGAACGGGTATTCTATTTCTAAGCAGTTTAAAATTATTTTTTTAGGAGCTCAACGCAAAACTTTCAACAGTAAACAAAAGAGGTGAGAGGGTGTACTCAGTATTAAATAAATGGCCAAACACATTTTTCCAAATACTCTCAGTCATGAGAAAAAAGTGAGCTATCAATATTTTTGATTTCTAAAAGCCAAATTTAATAAATTAATAACTGCATGCCAGATAAAAACACAAAATTACAACTGAAAACCAATAATAATTTAACAGAAAACGCTCTGCGTTGTACTTTTTTTATTGGTAGAGATAATTTACTAAAGTAACAAATCTGAAAACACATTTTGCTTTTGCTGGAAAGAAAGTACTATGCTAGAGAAGAACTAAGAGAAACCAGAAATAAAGCATTTGAGAAAAGCAGGCATATGTTATAGTCTATGGCGATGCGGCAGCCAGAGGTGCTGGTTTCTCCATTTGTGTGCATGTTTATGGAAGCATCAGAAACCAGTGACGCAGGACCCAAAAGCAAAGTCACGACAGAGTTACTCTGTGAAACATGCTGGACTACAACCACGGGCGACCCAGGACGAAGGGGTGGCGCAGGCTTGGTGTCTCCTTTGTGTGGGGTTCCCTTGCCAAACAGGGGGCTAATCATGCACTAGCTTGAGTTTCTCTTAACGTGATAAACACCCAGGACTACTAGAACTGGAAAGCATGTGTTCACTGTTTTACAAGGACAGCGGAGCAGTGCTATGAAAACAACGGGAAGTTCCTTCATTTTAATCTGGTTATATGCCCAAACTTCTAACCAAGAAATAATTCAGCTATAAGAGCCAATTAAATTACTATAAAACATTCCTTCATCAGTAAAACATTTCTTTTTTCCTTCAAACTAAAAATTTAAAATAAAATGTCTTCATTTTTGATAAGCAGCTCCACCACCAGTCTCTGATATCGTATATCGTTCAGGGCAGCCATGGCGTCTAGTTCGGGAGATCTCATGAGGGTTGGGCCGAAAACAATCCCAAGGTTCTCTGCATTCATCAGATTCTCCTTTTCGTGAAGGGTCACTCTGAAAAATACAAGGAAGGGAGGGTGACTTCACGTAGGCTACGGGGGCCTTTGGCGTGCTGAAGCACTAAAACAAAAGATTCACAGTAAAGGTTTGGGCCCACTGATCAGCTCTTTCGCTAGGTTATTTCTCTGCACTTCTCCTTAACTTCAAAGTACTGACTTTCCTTAACGTAAATGATGTTAGTAAATAATTTAAACGTCTGGTGATCACTGGAGCTGAAGCCTGAGTTGATGTGCTGGCCTGTGTGGGGTCAGTTCTATTTGTGGATTCGCCTGCCACAGCCTAGAGCTGCAGGGGTGTGTTTGTAAACAGAGAAGGGACAGGGTCATCTTGATAATTCCATCAGCTCTCCCTCCACTTTGGCGAGAGCTTGTTTCCTATAGAGCATTTTTGCTAAGTTGAATGGTTTATTGAGTAGTTAGGGAGAGAGTGGTAGCCATATTAATAGGAAATGGCTCAAGCTAAGCAACCTTGTCAGGGAGTGTATTTATAGTCTTTTTACTGCTACAGAAAAGGCACAGAGACTATAATTTGAGAGTTATTCCTTTGTTTTAGTGTGGAGTTCTTAACTGCATCCACATACACAGCAAACTTGAATTTACAAGTGAAGCATGTGAAAAAAAGTTTTAACTCATGGTGCTTTTAAGGAGGGAAACCATGTAAATCCTTAAAAGCACCGTGAGTTAAATATTCACTTCTGGGTAACTCGCACCTAAAGGCATACAAAATAGATGTCAAGTTCTGCTGGGTTTTTTGGTTCCTGATTGGTACTATAGTTGGAAGTCCTAAAGCCACTAAAACTTGGTCGTATAATTTTAAAAACCTTGCTTCAACTGGGAGAGATGGAGGGTGACCAAGCGGGGAAATAAAGCTGTATCACCGTCAATCACTTTAAAACATTCAACCGGAAGTAACTGAAATATTTTATTTTCCATTCTTCTCTTTACTCCTTATTTTACTCCATCACTTTTTACAGCAGGTTTCAATACTGGCAACATTAATTCAATAATCTAAAATGCCAAGTCTGAAGTGCCTATTTTGGAGCAAGACATAAGTGAGCTTCCTTGCAAGTTGCTTTATTATACTAACACTAGTGTCTTTACAGCTGCAACCTTTTCCCTTTCCACAAAAATTAATGCATGTCCTTGGCAGAATATTGGTATTTCTAACATATCTGGAACATATATTTGAACTGTGGATACATTTAGGTTGGAGTCAAGTCTGCATTCAGTACTGTAGTGCATTTTTTTTAGCATTCCTTCTCAATGTGTGCGATTTTACACAAGAAGACAAGATACCTATGTATTTATTCATTCATTCAATAGATCATTTGTCCTTTCTTTCACCTTTGCTTTCATTTGATTCTTAACATTTGGATGTGGTACAAGTATAAGCGTCCGAGTTGGGAACTTGCCTCTTTAGATGCGCCATGAGATACCGGAGGGTTTCGCAGTGAGCGGGCGGCAGCAGTTTCAGTGCTTCATGAAGGGTTTCTAATTGCTCATCGGGGTCCATAATTTCTACGGTAGCAAGATGAATACCAAGGAGAGAAACTTTAATAGACAACTGGTACAAAAGGCCCGTTTAATTCTATTCTTGTGGTGATCTTCTAAAACTGACAAGAAGTGCTTTCTCACAGGTCCTTGCCCACAGCTTTGGAAAGTATTTTTAAGGTTCAAGTCTCAGATTTCCAAAAGTTTAGTGTCAATGTGGCAATATCATTTACTTGGACTTTTGGAGAGAGCACCTAGTGTTTTCACTTGAGGGTCCTAAAGTCTGATAAATATGAAAATTGGATATTGGATGTATAAGATGTAACTATAAAAAATTCAAACACATAATAACATATGCAAGGATAAAAACATATATTCAAATAAGGTCATCTTAGAACATTACAGACATACCGAAACAATGTTGCACTGTTCAGAATATTTTGAAAATCTCCTTTCAGCAATGGTATACAAGCGATGCTAGCCCAGTGCCCACTGCAACCCCTGCCAAAGTTTTATTAATTGATATTCATGCTTTTTTCTTTGTAGACCAAGAAATGTATCATCCAATATTTACTTCCTTTATTCACTAGACTTAGTTTTAAATTATTTTGTTATATAAAAAAGTCAATTCTACGCTCAAAGCACAATTCTTCTACTTAAGATATTCAGAAGAATGCAGTACAGACTTTGAAGGCAATTCCAAGCATTCTGAGTGACAACAGGACCCCTGAAATAAATGTGACTCTTACAAAGGTGTAACTTTGAGGGGGACAATCTTCATTTGGATATTTTAGTTCGGTTTTGGCCAAAAAACCACATTCCTTTGAGGTCACAGACTGCGTTTAATTCATCAATCACTTGCATATTCAGAAACAATAGACATCTTCGGAATTTCATGCTCTCAAAAAGAGGACCATAGCACATTCCTGCTTCTACCCAAACGTCAAGAAGATGGGGTGCCTTTAAACGCTGGGCTTCAGGGCAATTGCCTTTAAGTGTTGGTTAGCAGCCTTGAGATGCTGGAAGGCCATATCTGACCAGAATACAACATTTTAGACACAAGACCAAGAATCCTACTCCTTCTAATTTATAAAACAAACCAAATCAACGGCAATGTACTGGAGTCAGGTAAAAACTGATATAAGATGAAAGTGAAAAGTTCCTAGCATTGGCAGAGCAGATGTGATAAATTTCAGAATGTGAACAGTGACTGAAGCTTTTTAATTCAAAGAAACTTTGGCCATTTTACAGTTTCTGCCCAAAGCTTCCCCAGAGTTCTTGGTTCATTTCTTAGCAATAAAGAATATATTGTTTGCCTTCTGCTATGATAAATAATGCATAGTCTTTGAACCATGGGGCATTAAGGTTCAAAGTGCCAATTCATCACAGCAATAACATCTCAGATACTGAAATCCAATCATTTACTTTCTAGAATGAACAGAAGAAAATTCCATTTACTATAGAAAACTATTTTTTACTTAGCTATAGTTTTTATGATTGGACTAATTAATTTGAAACTACAGTATTCTGGAAATTGAAAAAAAGAGTAACTTAGTCTCCTTTTCACTTCTATAGTTAATCTTTATAAGGAGACTCTTGAGATAGTGTGAAATTAAGGACAGTGTAGGTGGCCTAGCAAAGAAACAAAATTCCCTGTTCACAGAGAGCTTTCTACTGGAGGCAATAGACAATAAATATTCTATCTTACAGTTTATACTAGATTAGAATGAGCGCTAGGCAGAAAACAGCAGGGTAAGAAACACTGGGAGGGCTGCAAGGGTGCAGTATTACGTGGGATGGTCAGGATAGGCCTTAATGAGAAAGAAAGTCTCGTGTACAGACTTTGAGGGAGGGAGGGAATGCAACCCATGGAGATCTGGGTGAAGATGGTTCCAGGCAGAGGGACATCTGAGCCATGGTTCCGAGGGGAGGGTGTGCCTGTCATGTCTGAGGAGAAGCGAGGAGACAAGTGTGGCTGCAGGAGGCTGAGCAGAGAGGAGCAGATGGGGGTGAGGTCAGAGAGGTAACAGGGCACTTTATCACGGCAGGTGCTGCGGGCTAGTCTAAGAGCACGGCATTTACGGAGAGAAATGGGAAGGTTCTGCATGAGGGAGGGTCAGGATCTGACGTACACTTTTCACAGTATTGCTCCTCTGGCTGCTGTGTGGGAAACAGGCTACGGAAGGGCAAGAGTGAAAACAGAAAGACCACTCTGGTCGTGATTACAAAAATCCAGGTGAGGAATGACGCTCGTTTAGACCAGGTGGTGGCAGTGAAGGTGGTAAGAAGTTGCTGGATTCTGGGTATATTTTGAGGGTAGAGTCCAGAGGGTTTCTTGATGAGGGATGTATGAAAAAGAGAATAATCAAGAATGAGCCAAGGTTTGGGCTTAGGCAACTGGAAGGATGGAGCCTCAATCAACTGAGATGGGGAAGATCACGGACGGAGGAGGTCTGGGGGGAAGGTCAAGAGTTCTGTCTGAGATGTCCTTCAGGCGTCCAAGTGAACATACCGACTGTGGACTGATCTGGGGTTTAGGGAGAGGTCCAGACTGGAGCTATAAATTTGGGAACATAGGACAAAATGCATTTGAATATATGGATGTTAAGTTGACAAAAATTCTTCCCTGGAATTCATTTCTCCTTTTTCCCCACTTAGAAGAGTCTTGACCATGATCAATTCTTCAGAGAACACAAATCTTTAGCCTTAAGAAAACCACAGCATAATTTAAGAGCGAGACAGACACAGTGGAAGGTACTCTGAGATGAATGGCCACCATCAGTTGTTCAAGTATACGAAAGGCTTGCATGGGGGAGAGGGTGACACTGGCACTACCGCCAATGGGAGGGAGTTAAAAGCAGGCAGATTTCCCTGCGCATCTGTCAGTGGACATCTGTCTACCAGCGGACGGGCCGCCTAGAGAAGCAGTGATCTTGCAGTTACAGGGTATTTAAAAAAGAATTTGTTGTAGAAGAAAGTCTAGTTATGTGACCCCTTAGAGTATCTAAAAACGCTAAGATTCTACGGTTCTTAATATAAAATTATGTTTACTCAACAAATATTTTTGAGCACCTATTATGTGACTGGGCACTGAGGGAAAACAAACAGGAGAGGACCCCTGCCTCTGAGGAAGTTACAGTCTACTAGGGAAGACCAGACATGACTATAACTTTGGCAGGAAGGAACAAGGCTGTGAAAGAAGCCCAGCCAGCGCAATGGGAATCCAGGGGAGAAAGGCAGCCTATGGCTGCGAGGTCCAGGGAAGGTCTGGAGGATTTGGGGATGTGGACGTTGTGAGGGCAGGAAATGAGCGCTCTGAATCTGCATCAGATCTAGTTACAAGCTCTTTGAAAGAATGTAGTGTCTAATTCTTTACAGAGAAACTCAAATACAAAAAGAATAAAACTTAGGCAAGCAAAAGGGGTGAATCAGTGGCAGAGCTGAGGGGAAACTCGGCATGCTACCAGGCTTCTCTTCAGGACATTTTAAGTTGCTGAGGACAAAGAACTCTGGGTTTTCTCTCTGAGTTGATCTGACTCGCTCAAGGTTACACACTGACTGAGTCATGTAGCTTTTCTAAGATCTTCTGGAAAGAGCTCTTAGACTCCTTGGCCATTCAGCCTGACCAGGAGCTCAACTGTGGCAGTGCTGTTTCCACGGTGGTTGGGAAGCCTCCGTGCATGCTGGGTTATTGAGCACGGCCTGTGAGAAGCATCTGTCTTCTGGGCCTTTGTACTGTAGGGCACCGATTTCTTCACTGGGGAGAGGGAATGAGGAAGAAGTGCTGGGTAGACCAAGGCTTCTAGGTGGTTCATAAGTGAGTTTCCAGGGGATCATGAAGCTCTTCAAGATTTTGGTTGGGTTGCCCTGGCCTCCTCCACCCTTGAATCCTTTTCATTTCCTGCCACTACTCCCTTCCAGCTTTCACCCAGCAGCTTCTCCAAGGGAGGCTGCACGAGCAGAGCTCAAACAGCTTTTGCAGGAGAAAGCTTTAACACCAACTCTGATTTTTTTGTTGGCAAGGGCTGCTAATAAATGCCAGACACCTGAGACCTGAAAAACACAGCCCCAGTTGTTTTAGTGGCTGAGATACAAGAGTTCTGAGATACAAAAAGCTCATCGGGAGGGGTGAGCTAGCCCTGTCCTTTGTTTGGAAAGGGTTCCGCCCCTCCCCTCCTATCTTCCTCCTCCGTTGAAGCCTTTTGTACCCTGTTCCATCAGGCGAGCCAGGCTGTGTGTAGAGTGGAGACAGCACGGCTTTGACAGATATGGGTTTGAATGCCAGGGCCACCTCCTCTCACCATGTGTCCCTGGACAATTTACTTATACCTGTAACATCTCATTTCTTCTAAAACAACATCATGGGTGTAAAGTGCCTAGCACCATTCCTGACACCTAGTATATGCTCTATAAATCTCAGCTTCACTCATCTTCCTTATCTGCTTATACAGATAAGAGAATGGCCATATCTATGCATCTAAAGAATAAAACAGACTCTACTACTAGTTAAGACATGTTACAAGGACACAGTGTTCTGCAAACTTTTTGATATCAGTATCAAACACGTACAGTAAACGTTTATATTGTGTGTAAGTATTATGCCAGGGTTTTTGATGTCACACATCAAAACAGTTTTATATTAGAAGGAAACGGAATTTCTACCTTGATTTAGGAAAGTTTCTTTCTTATGATGTGCTTTCAAGAGCTCTCTGAGGGGTGACATAAGGGGGCTTGCTGACTTCACACCGGAGGGCTGTTTCAGACACAAACCCAAGAACAGTGACAAATGCTTTGGAAGAATAATAAAGAGGGGAGATTGTCCTCAGCAACTCAGGTGGCTGTGGGGAAAGAAGGTGAGGTAGTTTGCGGGTGTGGGGCAAAAGGCCTTAAAATCCGTAAGGAGTGCTTAGATTTTTCTTTTAAGTAGATAAAGGGGTTGTGTAGCGTTCATACGCGGGGTTTGAATCCTGGCTCTGTCCTGTGCTAATCGGATGCCCTTGGGGTAGCCACAGAGCTGAGTTTCAATTTTACTAGCAAGCAACAGGGGGCAGGAACACCATCCAATGGAGCCCCCAGAGTTGTGCCGGGGGTCAGAGCAAACCGAGGTCTGAGCAGCCCTTTGCGATACAGGTGTATGTCAAGTGCCTTCCAGGTTAGTGGCGATCTGACTTATCTCTCTGGGGAGGAAACCTCTGCCCCACCAAAGAAGAACCCGTAAGCTCCCTCAGACAATTTTCATGATCTGCCCTGAATCCCCAATTCCCATGGAAGAGATCTAGAGTCTTTTCAGGCTTCTAACATGAACGTTTGTAAAAACCAGTGTAATTCTCACAGCTGTTCTCTACGTGAGAGCTTGAGCTGACACGCGAGAAATCAGGGCTCCATGGAACTAACCACAAAAATTCTCAACACAAGCTCTGAAGGAGAAACTGAAAGTTAGAACAAAGCAAGTTTGTACTTGTGAAATTTCAAAATCAGAAAGCAAATCAGAGTTACTCAGGAAGTGATGTTATTATTTAAAGATTAACACAGCATATGGTTTTTAAGAGAGAAAAGTAAATGACAGAAATAGCCTATCTTTTCTAAAAAATGGTAATGCCAACACTTAAAATCTGTTAAGAATTCCCTTCTTTAAAAAAGCAAGTGTAAGTTACAGGTAGGATTTTTGCCCCATAAATAAAATTTGGCAAATGAGCCTTTGCTTTTTCTCATTTTCATCTTAACTAAAACTTAAAAAATAACTTTTTGATCTAAAATAGTGCTCCTTAAAGTATAATCTATGAACCCGTGCCAGTTTGCAAACTGCTTATTAATGGCCTGTCACAGGATAAGGACAGAAATTGAGAGTAAGAATTTATATATTTTATAGCATTCTGACAGAGTAATCTTCACACTTGCTGAATCTAATAACAAATAGTTGGTCTTGTTTTTTCAGTTTTATTTTTCTAGTTGTTTTTATCTTATTTTACAAAAGTACTGGTCCATATCTAGGAGAACTGGTATAAGCCTTACTTTGGAAAATACATTGCAAAGATGCTTCTGATGGTAGAAGTCATAAACAACCTATGTTAGAGAAGAGTTCAAAATTCTTGTGAGTGTATTAGCCATGGAGAGAGGCCAGGGAGAAATATTTCATAAAATGCATTCAAGATACTCAGCAGAAAAAACAGGAGATGTGATTACCAAGAAGAGGCGATTTGTCAGGTTACAAATGCACGCCTTCATACTTACTGGCAGACTCTATAAACTTAGGGTAGGCGTCGTATGTGATGAGTGGAATTGGTAAATCTCTGAAGTACAGTTTCAGTGCACCAGTGATAATGTTGATATCTTCATACATGTTCACAGAAATATCTGCTTTCTCACCATCTTTGAAGGATGTTAAAAGAAACAGAAGTAAATATCTGGATTCATAGCACTTTTAACAAATAACATTTTTTTGTATACTGTTTTTAAAGATGTTTAAAAACAGTTTAAAAACTGTTTAACATCAAATTCACTGTGCTGAAACATATATATATTTTTCTGTGAAAGACAATCTATTTTTTTGAATTTTATATTCTGAGGTTACTCATTTTTCCATGTTTAATGATGGAGGGGAAAAGCAGGAGATGACTGAGGTTAACAGAAATATTTTTAAATTTCATGAGTACTTGAGAATTCCTACGGGAATAATGTGGGGTTACTTTTTTTTCCTTTTTAAAATAAACACAGAGAATGTGAAAAATAACAACTGAGGTCCTCCCAACTTAAAAAAGACCCAGCACAAGAGGCCACCTTTGATTCACCCCAGGTTCCCAGACCTAACGTTAGATCTTGCCTGAGCCCTGTGGGTAGGAGAGGTAGTGAGAAGTGAAAAAGCAAAACAAAACTTTAGAGTGTTGATATAACAAGAGAAAAAATTACAAAATAGAGGAAATTTTAGAGTTGCTGGGCCTTATAGACTCTCAAGCAAAGCTGGCATTCTTTCAGGGTGGCCCCTTCTGCCCTCCCCCTGCACTTAGTACTTTGTTAAAACAGCTGACTTTTCATCTACTGAAGACTTAATTAGCGTCTACTCTGAGCTAGATCTTATACTAGCTTTCTTTTATTCCATTTAGCTTATGAAAGATTTTTAATGATTAAAAAGCAGCCTCTTATATTTGGTAGTGATATATGTCCATGCCACTCTCTCACTTTGTCCCAGCTTACCCTTCCCCCTCCCTGTGTCCTCAAGTCCATTCTCTACGTCTGAGTCTTTATTCCTCTCCTGCCCCTAGGTTCTTCAGAAACTTTTTTTTTTTTTTTTTTAGATTCCATATATATGTGTTAGCATACAGTATTTGTTTTTCTCTTTCTGACTTACTTCACTCTGGATGACAGTATCTGGGTCCATCCACCTCACTACAAATAACTCAATTTCATTTCTTTTTATGGCTGAGTAATATTCCACTGTATATATGTGCCCCATCTTCTTTATCCATTCATATGTCGATGGACACTTAGGTTGCTTCCATGTCCTGGCTATTGTAAACAGAGCTGCAATGACATTGTGGTGCATGACTCTTTTTGAATTATGGTTTTCTCAGGGTATATGCCCAGAAGTGGGATTACTGGGTCGTATGGTAGTTCTGTTTTTAGTTTTTTAAGGAAACTCCATACTGTTCTCCATAGTGGCTGTATCAATATACACTACCAAATGTAAAATAGATAGCTAGTGGGAAGCAGATGCACAGCACAGGGAGATCAGCTTGGTGCTTTGTGACCACCTAGAGGGATGGGATAGGGAGGGTGGGAGGGAGACGCAAGAGG